TTATTTGCAAAGATAACACTGATCAAGACAGCTTTTTGTGCATTTAACCAGACCTGGAGTTGTTTGATCCATCCACGCCAATATCAGGAACTTTTGGCACAATCATTGAGCTCCGCCTCTTCTGTCTAAAAGCTCCTGTCTCAGTTTTGTAATAGTATGATGTAATTGTACCACTATGACATCACGCTCACAGCAGTGAAATTACATTCTTTACAATGACATGGATGAGTTTGCAGCCTGTGATTTTCAAAATGGGGAAAAAAAAACTCTAAACTAACTTTGCTCCTACCCCTGGTGGTAGCTTAAGGATAGGACAAGACAATAGCATTGTTCACCCTTGATACTTGGTTCACCATAGATTTCCTACTGAAAACAATATTTCATGTTCCTAAACGTGAAATGACAAAGTGAGGGATTTTTTTAATGACCAAAGGAAAAACATAATATCTCTTCATTAAAGAATGTATTAACCAAAGGGTTAATTGTGTCATTTTAACATTGTGTCATCATCAGATCAGACACTCTGCAAACTGGTCCCCACACAAAACACTTGTTACTGAATCTTTAGCTGCAGCTGATATTCTTGGCCTTGTTTACAGACACGAGATCTAATATAGAGGGATTCTAGTCTTTTTGGGCAAGACACTTAACCCCACTTTGCCTGAAAGTGCCATCATCGACAGAGCAGCCATCCTCCTGTGGATTCACCACCTGCAGGAGGATCAGGGACTGGTGCTCTGTGAATTGGGTGCTGCTCTGACTGCCGACTGCCACCCCCCACCCCCACTGCCCCGACCCGGAAATGGGTTAAGGGGAAGATGGATTTAACAAATGGACTTTAAACAAACAAAGGCTTGGCATATGTCACTTTGCAGGTAATGCGACAAAATCATGTATTAGTTGAAATATAGAAATCAAAAAACTGATACGAGATTTTATTTTTCCAAGTTTGACATGTATATAAGTCATACAGAATTTCAAACAATTAAGCCTGTAAGACCACGCAGAAACTGCTTCATAGATTTAAGCAGTTATAACAAACATCTGAACGATTGAGGAAATGTAATTGTAATCAAAGCTTTCACGTAACGCAATAATTTTACCTGATTGCTTGTTTCAACATAAAAAATGTATTACAACCTGTGCTTTGGCATAGTTCTGTATGTCAAACCTGTTATGACAATGAAAGCTGCAGAAATCTTATCTGCTTTTTTAAAACCAGTTTATTGTCTCCAGCTCTGTGCCTTGTGCTCACATGAACAAGTCCAGACACTAACATTACAAATACTTAGTTCTAGGGAGGTGTCACCAGGAGATGAAGAATTGCTCATGATTCTTAATCTTTATCTACACCTTCAAGTACAATGTGTTCTGAAAAATAACCTACAACAAATGTAACTTGATATGTCGGAAAATTAAAAGACAAAAAAGCTCACGAGTGACCAGCATTGTGGAAATATCCCAGTTCTAATTCCAAGTTAATTAGAGTGTGGAGATGTTGTGAATGAAAAGGCAGCGCAGACGGAGCATTGTGCTCTCAGTGATAAAGGCCCACATGTAGGCAGCCACCGGGAGTCTGGCCCAGGAATGATCTGCCCCTTCGGTTTTACATTACGGCAACACAATTACGCTCATTTGATTAGATTGGCCTGGGTCTCCGCTGTGAGAAAGCAGACATTTTGGGAAGGGTGATTGTTGATTTTAGAGGATTACTCAGCTGCTAAATTACTTTGGTTCGTTACGGGTGAGATTAAAAGCATAGTGGGGGAAACTGATATGAGAGTTTGGGCAAATAGTGGAAAGTGAGTGAGCTGGTGGGTTCTAAAGAATACTTTTTTTAATTAAGCTCATTATAAAGTCCTTGCATCCAAAACAATATAGAACATGCTTTAGTGTGTTCACATTCAAAACTGGTCACATTGATTTTGGATCTTTGTAACATCACAGGGAGAAGATTGCACATAGTACAGTCTATTGTCACAGAAAACTGCTTCAGGGTGAAAAGAAAACTAAAATATGAATTACAGTTTGTGCATTAATTTATTATAAATAAATAGCTAAGCAATAGTAGTTTGTACTTTGTCACAATGTGCCTCAGTCGCTGCTACTGCTGCTGCTACTGCTGCTGCTACTGCTGCTGCTGCTGCTACTGTTGCTGCTACTGTTGCTGCTACTGCTGCTGCTACTGCTGCTGCTGCTGCTGCTACTGCTGCTACTGCTGCTGCTGCATCAAAACAATTCTTGCTTGTTCCTTTGGGAAAGATTTATCTCATGTTTTTCACATTCCAAATGAATATTGTTTTTCACATAAACTGAAATTGTTAAAATATGTTATACAGATCTGACACTTCAACATTATTATCAGTAAAATCTTATTGTATAATAGTTTAGACAATAATTGCATTTGTCTGAAATGTGTGAGAATTGTGCTGAGGCTACCTGTTATACATGTAAAGAAATCGCAATCATGGTCCGCCGCCCAAGCTAAATGCCACACTGTGCACTTTCACCTGAATAGAATCAGGTGAAGGTGCACAGATCAGATCTATTAAATCCGTGTTTACTTTTCTGTTTGCTAAAATGGGGCAATGTCAAAATGCTGTTTTGAACTGAAGTCAGCAACCCCCACGCACCTCGCGTTCAGAAAATTTGATTCACAAAGGAATGCTGAGATACGAGAATAGCTTGGAGAGCTGTTGTCCTCAAAATCTACCGTGTAAAGATACGACAAAGAAGATGGGCTGCTCATTGTCTGTGTGGCCTGCTGCATACTATATACTATTGCACGGCCTGTATAATGTTATGACACTGAAATAATGAGAAAACTAAGATACTAAAAATATACAAAGTGAAAGGCCTGAGCTGCAACAAAACAGCAGAAACACGTTAGTCCTTATTAAGCCTCTATAATGAGTCATAGATAAGATTTATTTTCAATCGTACAGAGAAAATGTTATCACACCACCGACTGAATCACCTAATGGGCAAATGTAAACATGCAACATTAATTTTCCACAAAAAATATGTACATTTCCATTTACTGAACATAAAGCTGGGCCTACTAATGCAGTATGCAGTGTCTTACGAGCTTTCAGACCTCGTTTTACATGAAAAAGATCAAAATAATGAAAGAAACCCCATATGAACCCATCGTTCAAATGCAGGATTACTAAACACAAAACACAACTCATTCTATAGTGCCATACCCACAATGCATTGCACCTTGGGGGGATCACTAATGTACACAATATATCACATTGTCAGCAGTCATAGAATAATAGAATAAAATTATGCTCAAAACTGAGGCTTTACCAAATCTGTACTTTCTTATCAATAGATTTTGAAAAGTCATTTACGGAGAAGCGCTCATAAAGCTTGTGTGGAGGGCTTTGAACAGTTCTGGGCCTTTGCTGCCATTTTTGGAAGTTGTCCTGAGTCAATGAATCTACAGTATACAGCTCAGGAGCCCAAGGCGCCGAGCATTATGGGTAATGTGCACAATATGTCATCTTTCAGAAAATGCAATAGGGCTACATTCTGAAAAACAGCCAAAAATGCTGATGGAAATGGGAAATATTTCTCAATTGTAGTCATAGTAGAAAATCAACTCAGATTGTTTTTGGAGTTCTTTTGCTGGAAAGCAATAAATGGATACACTAAGATCATATCATCATAAAATAATTTACATGATTTTATAATATGTATTACATATATGTAAATAGCTGAACATTATAGATATTTTATAAGTATAAAAATTTTCATATAAAAATAATTGTAGTTTATGTGTTGTTTTGTTGACTACGGATACGTTCTACTGTCCCTTTAAGAGCGGCTCCGGGCGCTTATTTCTGAACATTCGGACAACTTTATTGACAATAATGCAAATCACTTAGACATACACCAAACGGGTGATCGTCTCGAAGATATGGTATCATGTTTGAAGTATTGGCCCCTTTCGCTGCAACTTTCCGATGACTTTGCAGGTTTGAATTCCATCAGCGACAACAACACCTTGTTTCCAAATGTATCCCACACTACTGACTAAAGAGTGGTGGATGCCATCCTAGGGCTGGGCAATAAATCGAATTTTGGCAATTAATCGGCTTTTGAAAAAATCAAATTCGTGAAAAATTGGAAAATTGTGAAATCGAATAAGGGATATTGTGAGAGTTCCAGCAGCACATCCATTATACTTGCAATATCAGCACAGTCTGTACAAGACTTTCATAATATGTATTTGGGGAAACAAATAAAAAATAGTTTTGAAACTTAAATATTGAGCGGGAAGATAAAAAATATTTTAAGGGCAAAGTCTGTCTTGAGTGACTTTAATGAAAATTGATTTAAAATCGGCATCGTCCAAAGCAGGAAATAAAATCGAGATTTTACTTTTTTGCCATATCGCCCAGCCCTATGCCATCCACAATTTATTGGTGAATATGCTCCGTGTGCAGCGGCACGTACCACTCGCGGTAGAGTTTTCCGTACCAGCGGTAAACCGTGCCATCTAAAAACCTTACGGTTAACCTACTATAACCGTGACTATAATTGTGGCTTTTATAGTCACAATTATTGTAAAACCGGTTAATCTCAGCAACCCTAGTCATGGTTCAAAAGTCAACGTTTCACCAGGATAATGCGTACACGTGTGCATGTGTGTGCGTGCATGTGTACACATGTGCATGCGTGCACATGTGTGTGTGCGCCCCACATCACGGGACATCCAGAGCTGGGTTCGGGCTCAGTAAGCGGGGCAGGGCGCAGGGGCCTTCAGCCTAATTGGTCACGGCTGCTGGACCAAGGCTAAGTGACAAACAAGCGAGCGGGAAGGGTATTTTTAGAGCCGACCGTGGACGACACACGGGGGCTGGTGACAGGTGGAGAGGGAGCAGAGATTAAAGCGCGTCTGCTGACTTCATCTGAATCATATTATATAAAAGGCAGAAGACGTGGTTCAAAGAGCAGCAACTAGATTAGGACAGACAGCAATTATGGCTTACCTTCTGTAGACTAGTGGGGTTTAGCTGAGTTTTGTCTATGATCTTCACCGCCACCTGAAAAAAAAGAGGAAAACAAAGATGAGAACAACTAGAATTAAAGTGATTTTCATTGAGTATGCTCATCATGTATTTCAGCAGAACCAGCACCGTCCTCAGCTTCTCAAATACAAAAACCAAAGTTGACAGGTTGTTGTGTTTTTGTTTTGTCTACTTTGGTTGCACCAGTAAAATATTTTACCTTCATAACTTTACTACAGTAAATTGAGCGGAAAATCCCTCTGATCTGTGTGATCAAAAGTTCATTGATAATATATAAAACATACTGCTGTGTTTAAACAGGAATTAGGCCAAATCTTAAAGCTGGGGTACACAACTTTCAAATCACAAATCATTTAACAAAGTATTAAATAGCCATCCAACTAGTTCCTCGCTCTCAACCCGGTTACATGCATGTATTTGTGGCCTTTGTCTCATCTTTAGATGAGACATAAAACTGAAAAAGCAAGGACCGTCCTCACTCAGTCCAAAGAGTCAAAGAGTGACTGACAAGTATGCAGAGGATAATGTTTTCTAATAAGTTGAGGACTTAGCATGTTGTGGTCTGATTTGTTCTACTATGAAACAAATGAGTTAGATACCCCAGCTTTAATAATGTAACGTTTTAGTAAATTGGGTGAAAAGCAGCGGACCCAGAAGTCCAGGTTTTGGGTTGATGGGGGGAAACCAGAAGTGTAAACATGAGAGGAACAAGCAAACTCATAAAAAGGACAGAGGTTTCAATTACTTTTCAAACTTTGAAGCCGAAGAGACATTTTTTGAATGCGAGCACCAGTTATACCCGCCCCCACAGCTTCCCGATTGGACGAAAACCATTCGTTTGACTATTCTCCTCCAGCAAATCTTACTGATGCTTAATCCAAGGGGAGCGACGATTATAAATACATCATTCATGGACAATGCTTTGTTTAAATTATACTACAAGGTCGTATGGTCAAAAATATGTATTCCTATAAAAAGGGAAATAAAATAGCCTTTAAAATCATTCTTTTTTCAATTTCCAAATTGAATTTTGGGTGTAAGGTGTGGCAAAGTACCATTTCAAGAAAACGTCTTAAATGCCTCATTATGTTTCCATTCAGAAGATTTCCTCCGTGTCAAAACATGCCATAGAGGAGAGACCAGGCTGGAGGCGGTCGCTGATCCTACATTGAAAGCCGGTCTATTTGATACTAATGGACTCTTGAGTAAACCCCTTTATTATCGCGATGTCTGCAGACTAGTGATCTCCTGATGTCCCACACACTCCTCCAATAGGCAGCAGTCTGTTCCATTCTGTCCATCCCCCAAAGTGCTCAAACACGCATCAGCAACTTTCACACGGATCCATACTGCCGACTCACCAGATAACCTTTTAAATTATACATAAAGTGACTGACACAAGCACAATATAATGCGATTACACCGAAACGAAAGGAAGCGACCCGGTTTGCCTCGTGAAGTGGTCAGTTCGGTCAAAGTTGCACAGACGTGAGGATGGTTGCAAATGAAAAGCGTAACAGTTTATTAAAGGTTTGCGGTGAGACCAGGGAGATTACAGCGTGTTGCGTTGGTTAGAAGCACTTTGCACCATAGCAGGCCTTTTGCAGAGTATGTCATAACGTGGGGTTTACAGTTAGCATGTCAGAGCCAATTGTTTTCATTGATCGTCTAATGCAACGTTATGGGATTCTGATGTAACGTAATGATTGTGTGAAAATTTAACTGAGACTGAAATTAGAATGGTCAAAATTGGCGATAATATAACATGCAATATCCATGCAGTTTGTAGTCTCTTCAGAGAGGTGGGGGTCCGCTGAAGGTCCATAGGGTTCAGCAACGCCCCTTCTCCAGGGCAAAAATGGATTTTCGGGCCTGATAATCATGGGTTCGATCCGCCAACAGGACCTGCCATCTACTCCCAATGATGCCTGCTATCGTTGTGTCCTTGGGCAAGACACTTAATCCCACTTTTCCTGAAGCCCCGCTGAAAGTGCTGGGACCTGCAGGAGGATCAGTGAGGGGCTGGTACTCTGAATTGGCCCGACCCAGAAATTGATGGCGATGAAAATGGATGGATGGATACACCTGTATTTCTACATTACAGGTATGAATCATGAAGGTTCTCACTCAAAGGGGTATGTTCCCTTTATATCCGGTACACTACATGGGAACTTTCAAGGGAATCTTGTAAATGACGTCTGCTTTGAAAAGAAAAGTATGTTTCACTGGCAGGCATTAGTCACAAAAAGGAAGAAGAAACAATAGACTTTTTGAAGTGGAAAACTCTGGTTTCCTTGTCTCTATCCACTGTATATTAAGTCTAATTCTAATGTCTTAATACCGCATGATTTTGTGAGTAAAGTGTTGTCCATATTCCAACAAAGTAACAATGTGTAACAGTTGGCGCAGCAGTGATAGGGCAGTTTAAGTGAAGTATAAGTGGATTTGAACTGGCCCCGGTGACCCGCTGTAGTTCTGTGCAGTTGCGTTTAGTAGTGTGACCAGTGTAATCCTAAAAAAATAAAAAATAAAATCACAAACTTTGCACAAAGAAATAAAAGCAGCAGAGGTTTCAGCGCTACAGGCCGGACAGATATCACATGAGATTGTTTAGTCTCATATTTCAGGCACAGATACAATGTAGTACAGCAGAATGGAAAACAACTTCATTTTGGGAAGTGACACAGCTTTGCTTTGTTTACTCTAGGAGACACACTGGTGGTCATTATACAAAGCCCAGTAGTTTATGTATATGTACATTTGATTAAAAATATTGTTCAGACACATACTGAAGCCTCAAAAGTGTTGAAGTTTGACAGCTTTTGAGCTTTGTAATGTATATGTAATAAATTGCAAAGCCTGTATATTGTACTAACCAATGTGCTTAAAGTGGTGGCTCTTTTCTTTCACAAATAATACATTTTGTTTTTAAAGAAATCCTCTATTTTTCACTTTGCTGTCTGAAAAAGTTGATCCAAACATGTGACAGAGGCCAAAAATACATGCATGTGAAAACTGCAGCGATGTAACTTGGGTGGATGGCGGTTTTTACAGCTTAAAATCCTGAATCTCGTCTATAATGTCAATTTTAGAGTTTTTTCCTAGCCGATGCAGGAGGGTGGTGATGGATCCTGAGAATATAATGAGATAGACCGCCAGTATGAAATGTCAGACCTGCCTCAGACCTGCCTCAGACCTGCCTCAGACCTGCCTCAGACCTGCCTCAGACCTGCCTCAGACCTGCCTCAGACCTGCCTCAGACCTGCCTCAGACCTGCCTCAGACCTGCCTCAGACCTGCCTCAACAAAGGCTGTATAGGAGATGTGGAGAGAACAATCGTCAGTGATAGGCTGATGGTGTGAGTGCTGGGGGCTCTGGCTGCGGTCCCATTTATCCCGTTAAAGAGGAGAAATGCTGAGTCACACGCAGCAGCATCGTGAGCAGGGCTTCCCCATCTACGAGTCACTGCAAGGATTCAGAAACATGTATAATGGATGTGCAGATTTCAGGATGACTACTACAGTGATCAACTTTGAGATGGAGCAAGTCTGCATTTTCGCTCATGTGATGCACCAATCCTACTTTTTCAAGCGCAAAAGCGATCACAAAACTTGAACCGATATGAATGAAGGGACTGCAGACAGCATATTTTCTCACATTCAACCAATCAGCTAGTGTCTAGAGAGCAAGAGTTTTAAGTGCACAAAGAATCTGCATTGAACATTTCGGTCAAAACTAAATGGTTAATATGTTTTCAAAAAATACATACTCCCATAAGAAAAAGTTGTGGGCTTATTATAGTGAATGTGGGTGATACTAACATTCAACAGCAAAGGCAAATTAATAATGGAATTTTTAATTTGCCTTTTTTACAAGTAATAACAGCAGTAGTCCATAGGCAATGAAGCTAATGTTATTTTTTTTTATAATTTCTCCTAAAAAACACAATATTTTTGACAGTTGGGTTGAGTTAGTGTTTGTACTAAAACACTCTCCCTGAATCAGCTGTTTCCTTTGAAGCAGCGGCGTTTGATTCACGCTGGCCGGGTCCAAAAGTCATGTTTGTGTGTGTTTGTCTCTCTAATGGATTTAAGGGTGAATAATTCAGCTTTTTTGCAGTGACAGAAGGCCAAAGCGCATCTGTGTTAATTATTCAGCATTCGTAACACAGAGCCCATATGCTACCCTCCCATATGCATGCAGGCATAACCCCTATGCGCAAAAATCGGATGACACAAAGTGAAGATTGGAACAAGACGATATTAAAACTTCACAACAGAACAAGTTGTGAGGCTTGCTTTTCCTTCACAAGAAACCAAAGTTTGTGCAGCTAAACCAGCGCACTGAAAGGTCATATGGCCAAAAACAAACATGCATGATGCATTCAAGGATAAGGTTCGCTGCACATTGCCTTTTAGATCAGGGCTGTGGTGGCATATGAGAAAAACATGTGATTTGTGTGAGGCCAAAAGTCAACAGACACATGAAAACACATAAGAGTACTTATGTGTACACCTCTCCTTCCAATATTTAATGTGTTACAACAGGAACAGCTGATGCATCTACTGGTGTGCGACCAGGACTGACAACTGGCTTAATATTTACTGTACTGAACACATACTGTACTGTAGCCAATGAACACGGACATTGTGCAGTGAAAGAAAATATTTCCCTTCAGTATAGATTGACAATAATAACGCTTTCTATATGTGTTTTTATCAGATGCAGGAATTAATGTGTGGCAAGAAAAGTTGCAGCACAGGATATTTAGAGTTTTAACGGTTATAAATTCTGAATGAATATTAAAAGGAAAAAAAAGCTTCTCAAATGTAGGTGTTTTAGTAATAACAGCAAAATAATTACAACATAAGCATGTATCCCTGTACTATTTTTGAAGAAATCCACAGTGAAAATGTCTGTATAGTTGTGGTCTGTTCTTAACGATCGACAAATATTATCGCAGTCGCAAGCAGTGGATATTTTTCATTCAATTCTGCATTCTGTATAATCGTGTC